GAGCGCGGTGGGGCGCGGGGGCTGTGGGGTCAGCGGGGCACACGGCAGGGCGTGAGGCGTGTCCGGGGACGGGTGGCTCGGAGCCGGGGCTCGGGGAGGGCGGCGGCGGCGGGTGTGCCCGTGGGGCCGCAGGGCGGGTGCGGGGTGCCCTGCCGCGGCTGGGCCGGTGCCGTGAGGGGCGGGGGGCTCCGAGGGGCGCGGCAGGTGGGGCCGGCAGTGCGGGGCACACGGCGGTGCCGTGGCCGGGGTGTCACCGGCAGGTGGGGCCGGCAGTGCCCCACGGGGTGTCTGCGGGGCCAGGGGCTGCGGGATGCCGTGGGGAGGGTGCTGTGGGCGCCCCGGGGTGCTGAGCCCTGGTGCCACAGGGTGGGTGCCCGTTATGGCCCTGTGTGGGGTGGGCAGGGCGCTGTGGGGCACTGCGGGTCCAGTGGTGGGCTGTGGGGTGCCGTGCAGCGCCTCCCAGGCATTTAAATTCCCCCCGTCCTCAGGCTGAGGGTCTGCCAGGACCCAGCCCGAGCCTGTGGGGCGGGTGGGGGCTGTGTGGCGCCGTGGGTTGGGGCTGGGAGCGGCCGCGGGTGCCAGGCAGCCCCGTGGGCTGCTGCAGGTGCCTGCCCCTCACTGTGGCGTGCCTCCCAGGCTGAGGAGCCACCATGGCCCGCCACGAGCCCGCCAGCCCCGTGGTGCGGCAGATTGACCAGCAGTTCCTGATCTGCAGCATCTGCCTCGACCGCTACTGCAACCCCAAGGTGCTGCCCTGCCTGCACACCTTCTGCGAGAGGTGGGACCTCCCGAGCCCACCCTGAGCCCCCTGCATCCTCCCAAACCCCATCCCTGCCTGCACGCTTTCTGTGAGAGATGGGACCCCCTGAACCTTTCCTGAGCCCCTGAACCCCTCCTGAGCCCCCCTGCACCCCCCCTGAACCCCTCCTGAGTCTTCCCTGAACCTCTCCTGAGCCCCCCTGAACCCCTCCTGAGCCCCCCTGAACCTCTCCTGAGCCCCCCCCGAACCCCTCCTGAGTCCTCCCTGAACCCCTTCCGAGCCCCCCCTGAACCCAATCCCTGCTTGCATACCTTCTGTGAGAGGGACCCCTCATTACACTTCCTCCTGCACCCCACTGCACCCCCGGCATACCCTCTGTGCCCTGGCACCCACCCTCCATCCTCACCCTGTCTCTGAGCAGCCCTGCACCCCTCCGTGCCCTCTGCACCCCGCCAGCAGCCATCCCAGCACATCCCCACTGTGCCCTGGGCCCCCTGCACCCCACTGAGTCCTGGCTGCAGCCCTGCCACTGCAGCCCTCCAAATGCACCCCCCTGTCCTTACTGCACCCCCAGCCTGCTCTGCCCCCCCTGCTGCATCCCCGTGTCCCTGAGCCTGTACCCCAGCACTACGGGCTGCACCCCCAGTGTGCCCCACTGCAGCCATCCTGCACCCCCTAAAGCCTCAGTGTGAGCAGAGCCCCCTCAGCCCCTGCTGGTGGTGAGCCAGCCCCCTGCAGTCCCTAACCCTCCCCAGAGATGGGCTCCAGGCTGCCTGTGCCCCCCGAGGTGGGGCTGGGACCCCCTGCTCTCCACACCCCACTTCCCTGTGAGGGCTGCGCAGCCCTGAGCCCCCGAGTGTGGGTGCTGGGGGCACCCTGGCTGGGTCCCCGAGTCTTGTTGCTGATGGCCCCCTCTCTCTGTGCTCCCAAAGCCGTCTGGTCCTCGTCCATCCATCCATCCATCCATCCATCCATCCATCCATCCATCATCCATCCATCCATCCATCATCCATCCATCCATCCATCCATCCATCCATCCATCCATCCATCATCCATCCATCCATCCATCCATCCACCTCCCCAGGGGCACTGGCACTGCTGCCCTGTGTCCATCCTGTCCATCTGTCTGGCTGCCTGCTCCCCTGCCGCTCCCCCACCTGGTGTGACACCACGTAGCCCTCCTGTCTGTCTGTCCATCTGTGTCTCCCATCCTCGTGTGTCACTGCACAGCCCCCCCATGTGACTGTCCGTCTGTCCTCCTCCTGCACCCCAGTGTGACACTGCAGCCCTGCCATCTTGTCCATCTGTCCCCTGGTTTGTCTGTCCCTCCCACCCTGTTCTCACACCCTGGAGTTCCCCCACACAGCCCCCATGTCTGTCTGTCCATCTCTCCCCCTGCTCTCTGCCTGCACCCCAACCCTTCAGTCTGTCTTGCTGCTCCCCTCTCCCTGTGTTCCTCAGTGCCCTGTCTGTCCATCTTGCTGTCCCTGTCCCACTGTCACTGTGTGCAGCCCCCTGTCCATCCGTCTGTCCCTGTGGCACTGCCTGTCCCCAGGCCTGTCCGCGTGCCCTTGTTCTGCACCCTGACCCTCCCTGGGTGGCATGTTCCCCCTTCTGTCCCCCATCAACCTGCCTGTCTGTTCCCCTGTCTCCCTGTCCATCCATCTGTCCCTTCATCCCCCTGTTCTGCCCCCACCACCATCCCACATCCCCCATCCCCAGCTGGTCTTGTCCCCCATCCCCTTGTTGTCCCTATATCTGGACCCATGTGCCCCCACAGCCCCCACTCCTGTCCCTGCCCCCTCCACGTCCTGGCCCAGTCTGTCCCTGCCATGCCCTGTGACCCCCGTGACCCCTGTGACCCCAGGTGTCTGCAGAACTACATTCCGGCCCAGAGCCTGTCCCTGTCGTGCCCCGTGTGCCGCCAGACCTCGATCCTGCCCGAGCGGGGGGTCCCGGCGCTGCCCAACAACTTCTTCATCACCAACCTGATGGAGGTGCTGCAGCGGGACCCCGACCCCCGCGGGGCCCCCCCTGCACCCCTGCCCCCCCTGGGCGCCGCCACCGGGCAGCCGCTCTGCTGCCCGAACCACGAGGGAAAGGTGGGGGCCGAGGGGCTGGGGGCGGGCTGGGGGGCTGCAGGGGCTCAGGGTCTTCGGGAGTGGCTGCAGGGTCCTGGGGGCTGCAGGTGTCTGGAGGGGTCCCGAGGGCTGATGTGACTCAGGGGCACTGGGGAGCTGCAGGAGCTGGAAAGGCTTTAGGAGGGCTGGGATCTGGGAGGGCTAAGGAGCTCTGTGAGGGTCAGGGGGGTCGGGGGGGCTGCAGGCCTTGGAGAAAGGGTCCAGAGAGGGTCTGCGGAGGCTGCAGTGGTCCTGGGAGTCTGGGAGAGGCTGTGTGGGCTCAGGAGGTGATTTGGGGCGGGCTGCAGGGTCCTGTGGGCCGAGGTGCGGGGCAGCAGGTGAGCGCAGCTGTGGCAGGTGATGGAGTTCTACTGCGAGCCCTGCGAGACGGCCATGTGCCGGGAGTGCACGGAGGGGGAGCGGCGCGAGCACCGGGACCACCGCACCGTGCCGCTGCGCGACGTGCTGGAGCAGCACAAGGCAGCCCTGCAGCACCAGCTCGACGCTGTGCGTGCCAGGTACGGGGGCAGGGCTTTCTGGGGCTCCCCGTGGCCCCACTCCCACCGGTTGCAGCGCCAGCTTGGTGCCACCCACACACGGCGCAGGGAGAGGGGTGGCTGAGGGTGTCATGGGTACCGTGGGGTGTGAAGGTTCAGGGAGTGCCCGTGTCCTCCTTCTGCAGGATACCACAGCTGGATGAGGGTGCTGTGGGGCACTTCAGGGTTCAGGTGGGGTTGGTGGGGGTTTGGGACTTCAGGGGGTCCCCGTGTCTCCCCAGGCTCCCACAGCTGGCGGCAGCTGTGGGGCTGGTGGCCGAGATCAGCCGGCAGCTGGGGCAGCGCCGGGCTGAGGCCGAGGCAGAGATCGGGAGCAGCTTCGAGGAGCTGGAGGCAGCGCTGCGGCAGCGGCGGGAGGTGCTGCTGCGCGACCTGGAGGCCACCTGTGCTGCCAAGCAGCAGGTAACACACCTGGGGAGCTGTGCCCTTCGCCAGCCCTTCCTGGGAGGGTGAGTGGGTACCCCAGCCATAGCCCAGTGCCAGTGGCCCAGCCGGTGCAACAGTTGGGGTCCTGATGCAGCACCAGCGCTGGGGTTGTGGCCACGGCTGCGGTGCAGGTGGGGGTGCAGGTGGAGTGTTGGTTAGGGGTGCTGGGTGTGGGGGTCCCACACGGACACCACAGAGACGTGCCATCCCACAGGATGCATGCAGGCACAGCTGGAGGTGCTGCAGCAGGGCCAGGATGTGGTTCAAGTGGGGGTGTTGGCACCGGGGTCCCACCTGGTGCCACAGGTGATGTCCCGGTCGCACAGGTGCTGGAGGTGCTGCAGCAGGGCCAGGATGTGGTTCAAGTGTGGGTGTTGGCACCAGGGTTCCTCCTGGTGCCACAGGTGATGTCCCGGTCGCACAGGTGCTGGAGGCACAGCTGGAGGTGCTGCGGCAGGGCCAGGAGAGCATCCTGAGCAGCTGCGCGTTCACGGAGCAGGCGCTGCACCACGGCTCGGCCACGGAGGTGCTGCTGGTGCAGAAGCAGATGGGCGAGCGGCTGCGGGAGCTGGCGGCGCGGCCCTTCCCCGAGCACCCGCAGGAGAACGCGCAGCTCGAGTTCCACGCCGAGCCCGAGGGGCTGCGCCGCTCCATCCAGAACCTGGGCGCGCTGCTGACCACCAGCGCCACGGCGCACACCACGGTGGCCACGGGCGAGGGGCTGCGCCAGGCCGTGGTGGGGCAGCCCTGCTCGCTCAGCGTCACCACCAAGGACAAGGACGGGGCGCTGGTGCGCAGCGGCGGCGCCCGCCTGCGCTTCGCCGTGACCGGCCCCGACGGCGCCGCGGCCGAGGCCGAGGTGCAGGACAACCGCAACGGCACCTACGAGCTGGTGTACACGCCGCGCACCGAGGGTGACTTCGTGCTGTCCATCCTGCTGTACGGGCAGCCCGTGCGCGGCTCCCCGTTCCGCGCGCGCGCCCTGCGCCCCAGCGACGTGCCCCCGTCCCCCGAGGAGGCCAAGCGCCGCGTCAAGTCCCCGGGCGGGGGGCACGTGCGGCAGAAGGCGCTGCGCCGCCCCGCCAGCATGTACGGCAGCGCCAAGCGCAAGGAGAACCCCATCGAGGACGAGCTCATCTTCCGCGTCGGTGAGCGGGGCGCTGGGGGTCCTGGGCACTGGGGGTGTCTTGGGATGATGGGGGGTTCGTTAGGGCTCCCCAGGACGTGGGGTCTCTCTGGGCTCCTCACAGCTCCCTGGGGTGGTGGTGGAGGGCCCCAGGGGGTGGCAGGGGTTTACCGGGGTGGTGAGTGATCTCCTGGGGCCCCACGTGCCCCCCTGACTGGTGCCTGCAGGCAGCCGTGGTCGGGAGAAGGGCGAGTTCACCAACCTGCAGGGGATCTCCACATCCAGTGCCGGCCGCATCGTCGTGGCCGACAGCAACAACCAGTGCGTGCAGGTATGGACCCCTGGGACCCCCACTGACCCCCCCGGGTAACCCTGAATCCCCATGACCCCACTGACCCCATCAGCAGTAACCAATGTGTGCAGGTACGGCCCCTCCCGGGATCCCCAAACTGTCCCAGGACCCCCACTGACTCCCCCTGCTCCCCCCGGCCCCCACAGTGGTTCTCCAATGAGGGGCAGTTTTGGCTGCATTTCAGGGTGCGGGGGTGTTCCCCCGGTTCCCCTGACCTGCTGCCCTCCCAGGTGTTCAGTAACGAGGGGCAGTTCCGGCTGCGTTTCGGGGTGCGGGGGCGTTCCCCAGGGCAGCTCCAGCGCCCCACGGGCGTCTCGGTGGACACCAACGGTGACATCATTGTGGCCGACTACGACAACCGCTGGGTCAGTGTGTTCTCACCTGAGGGCAAGTTCAAGGTGAGGGGAAGCAGGGCTGCAGGGTCTGAGGGCTGGGGGTCCGTGGCACCTCCCAGCCTGACTGTGTGTCCCCCCAGACAAAGCTGGGCGCGGGGCGGCTGATGGGCCCCAAGGGCGTCGCCGTGGACCGCAACGGGCACATCATCGTGGTGGACAACAAGGCTTGCTGCGTCTTCATCTTCCAGCCCAACGGGAAGCTGGTGGCCCGCTTTGGCTCCCGCGGCACCGCTGAGCGCCAGTTCGCAGGTATCCCTGGGACCCCCCAGCTGTGGGCTCCCCAGGGAGCAGGGCAGGCAGGACTGCGTGCCCCACATTGCTGGGGCAGCTGGTGGCACTGGGACCCCTGGGGCACAGGTCCAGGCTGCAGTTCTAGACTGGATTTCTGGAAACGGTTCTGGGCTGTGGGTTCAGGTTCTGGGCTCAGGACTTGTTCTGAGCTCTGGTTTGAGTTCTGGGGCTGGACAGGGGGCCAGGATCTGGTTCTAGGCCCAGCACCAGGTTCAGGCCTCTGGGCTGGTGATCCAGTTCTGGGTACTGTCTCTGGATTCTGGTTGGGGACTGAGATCCCAGGCTCTGAGTTCAGGGTTTGGTTCTGGTTCCCAGGGTGGGATATGGTTCCAGGTTCTGGGTTTTGGTCTGGGTTATGAGCTGTGTGTCCTAGACTGGGGCACTGGTTTTGGTTCTGGATACAGATTGTGGGCCTGGGTTCTGCGTTCAGTTCTGGGCTGATGTCCTGGGCTCAGATTCTGGCAGTGGCTCCATCCTGGGGGCTCTGTCCATACCTCAGGGCTCTGGGTCCATCCTGGTCCTGCCATGGGGCCAGGGCTGAACCCTGCCATTCCCCTCAGGGCTGAGCCGCCCAGTCCTGGGGATGAGTTCCCCGTGCCCCTTTTGGGCTGAGCGTCCTTTGTCTCCTCAGGACCCCATTTTGTGGCTGTCAACAACAAGAACGAGATCGTGGTGACGGACTTCCACAACCACTCTGTGAAGGTGAGCGCAGCCACAGGCAGGTGCTGAGAGCCCCCTGGTGCTCTCAGGGCCGGGGGGCTGCAGTGACCCCCCAGACTGCCACGTGTTGTCCCTGTGCCCACCAGGTGTACAACGCTGAGGGCGAGTTCCTGTTCAAGTTCGGGTCGCACGGGGAGGGCAACGGGCAGTTCAACGCGCCCACCGGGGTGGCCGTGGACAGCAACGGCAACATCATCGTGGCTGACTGGGGCAACAGCCGCATCCAGGTACCGCGCTGTGCCCGCATGGACACCTGTGCCTGTGCCTGCACAGACAGCTGTGCCTGTGCCTGTGCCTGCACACACACCTGTGCCCACACGGACACACCAGGTGTACAACGCTGAGGGCGAGTTCCTGTTCAAGTTCGGGTCGCACGGGGAGGGCAACGGGCAGTTCAACGCGCCCACCGGGGTGGCCGTGGACAGCAACGGCAACATCATCGTGGCTGACTGGGGCAACAGCCGCATCCAGGTACCGCGCTGTGCCCCCTGGGTGGACACCTGTGCCTGTGCCTGTGCCTGCACGGACACGCATACACCTGTGCCTGCACACCTGTACCTGCACAGACACCTGTGCCTGCACGGACACACAGACACCTGTGCCCAGATGGACACCTGTGCCTGTGCCTGTGCCTGCACGGACACACAGACACCTGTGCCTGCACACACACCTGTGCCGCAAGGACACACAGACACCTGTGCCTGTGCCTGTGCCTGCACAAACACCTGTGCCTGCATGGACCCACACACACCTGTACCTGCACACCTGTGCCCACACGGACACACAGACACCTGTGCCTGCACAAACACCTGTGCCCACATGGACACACAGACAGCTGTGCCTGCACACACACCTGTGCCTGCACACCTGTACCTGCACAGACACCTGTGCCTGCACAGACAAACTTGTGCCGCACAGACAAACCTGTGCCACACGGACACACGGACACCTGTGCCTGCACACCTGTACCTGCACACATCCCCCCACTGCAGCCCAAGGGGGCTCAGCGCTGCCCCCTCCCCATCCCACGTGTGTGCTGTGGGGCACCTGCAGGGAACCAGGACACGGCTCGGTTTAAGTGAGAGCAACTGGAGAGGATCTTGGGAACGGGGAAGAGTCTGTGCAGGTCTGCAGCCAACTGCAGGGGTCTAGGGACAACTGGGAGCAACTGGAGTCAACTGGGAGCCACAAAGAAGGGTCTCTGGTCAACTGGGAATGGTCCATGGGGGCCTAGGGTCAACTGGGAGGAACTGGGGAAGAGTTTTGCACCAAGAGCAACTGGGATGGACTGGGAAGGGGTCTGGGGTCACCTGGGAGCAACTGGGAGGGTCTTGGGTTACCTGGAATAGGCCTGGGGGGGATCTTGGTCACATGTCCCCAGAGGGAGTGCATCCTGCAGGTCGGGGGGCCATCGGGGCTGGGGGTCCCTGGGCCACTGGGCACAGCTGTGTGCACCCCCTGCAGGTGTTTGACAGCGCGGGCTCGTTCCTGTCCTACATCAACACGGCGGCTGACCCGCTGTACGGCCCGCAGGGGCTGGCCCTCACCTCCGACGGCCACGTTGTCGTGGCCGACTCGGGCAACCACTGCTTCAAGGCCTATCGCTACCTGCAGTGACGGGCAGGCACGGCGGGCGGGCTGCGGCGGCAGGGAGCCACGGCTGCCCCGCGGCCTCGCCGCCCCCCACGCGCCAGCCTGGCTTCATGTGCACTTTATCCCAGGGGCAGCCGGGCCTGGGGGGTGAGGATGGGTCCCGCGGGGTGGGGGCTGCCTGGGGGTCACGGTGTGGCCCCTCACCCACGGCAGGGCCAGCATCCCACTGCCCCTGCTGACAGGGTTCCCAAGGCGTGGGGGGTGTGTGGGCAGGGGGAGTCGCTGGAAGGGCTTGTGGGGGGCTGTGGGGTGGCCAGTCCAGAGCCCCATGCCTCTTGAGGGCTGCCCCCCCTCCCCAGCTCCCCTCCCCAGCTGTGGGGTGACTGTGTGTGCCTGCTGCCCCACTGCACTGCTGCTCCACAGCTCTGGGGGGCTCCGGGGGTTGTGGGGCAGCTGCCGCACGCTGACAAAACTGTATGTACAAAATAAAGTATTCTGGAAGTACCCTGGCCCCGTGCTGCCCCATAGCCCTGCCTGTCCTTCTCACAGCCTGCCCTACAGCCCCGTGGCCTGGGGCCCTGCCAGGCAGTGCCAGGCCAGCAGGGCCAGGCACGGTGCCTGGAGCTCAGTGGCACCACGGGTGCCTGCCTGGCCTGGGCATTCTGCCAGCACTGACCCATCTGCAGGGACAGGGACAGACTGGCAGTGGGGACAGGGTTAGACTGATCTCTATTGGGCCAGACTAGTCTGTGCTGGCAGCAGGGTTTGGGTTGCACTGGTCTGTACTTGTACTCAGTCAGACTGGGCTATGCTGGCATGGAGAGTGGGTCAGACTGGTCTGTACCAGGAGTAGGAACTGGTCCATGTACCCAGGAGAAAGCAGTCAGTGCCCTGCTAAGCCACTCAGACCCTGCAGGTCCCTGGGGCCAGTGACCCCCGGGGATACCACCGTGGAGGGGTCACGGAGCTGCTCTGCCTGGTCCTCGCCAGCTCTGGCCATGCTGGGGCTCCTGGAGGCAGCAGAGCTCAGCCAGACCCTGCTCATCATCCCCCACCAGCCCCGACCCGGGGGCTCCCAGAGGTGACCCTGTTCCCAAGCAGGGCTGGAGGGAGGACCCAGGGCAGTGCACGCCCGTTCCTGGTGCTGGGAAGGCCCTAGAACAGATCACCAGAGCACGGGCAGGACAAGCAGGGCATCAGGTCCGGCTGGGGCTTGGGAAAGGCAGCTCCTGCCTCACCCACTCGCTCTCCTGCTGGGGCAGGGTGACCTGGTGGCTGCGGGACCTGGTGGGTGTGCCTGCCTGGGGCTCAGCAGAGCCCGTGGCACCGTCTCATCTCCCTGGCATCCCACGGAGCACCTGCAGCCTGGCTGGGACAGCTGCTCCTTGTTGGGAGCCCCTGGCTGAGGGCCAGGCCCAGGGAGGGGCGGCAGTGGGGCCACATCGGGGGCCAGGCACTGCTGGGCTCCCCGGGGTCAGTCCCACAGAGCTGTCCCACAGGGCTGTCAGTGATCCCGACGGAGTGTGTCCTCAGTGAGCCCACGGAGCACACACGGGTGGTTGGGATGTGGCTCTGCCAGGGCAGGAAGGATCCCAGAGGGTCTGGCCAGGCTGGACTGATGGGCCAAGGCCAGCAGTGTGAGGGTCAGCAAGGGCAAGCGCTGGCTCTTCTGCTCGGGCCCCCAAAAGCCCTGCCACACCTCAGGGCAGAGGGGCTGGAGATGGCCCTGGGGGGCTGTGACAGGGCTGGGTGTGAGCCCAGGGGTGCCAGGTGGGCAAGGGGCTGGTGGCACCTGGGCTGTGCCAGGGCAGGGACTGTCCCCTGTGCTGGCACCGTGTGACACCTCGAGGGCTGTGCCCAGTTCTGCTCCTGCAGGAGAGCCCTGGAGGGGCTGGAGGAGTCCAGGGCAGGGAACGGAGCTGGGAAGGGGCTGCAGCCCAGGAGGGGCTGAGGGAGCTGGGAAGGGGCTGAGCCTGGAGCAAAGGGGGCTCAGGGGGAAACAGAGACAGGACAAGAAGGAACGGCCGCAAGCGGCGCTTGGGGAGGCTCAGGTTGGGCATCAGGAGGAATTTCCTCACAGAAAGGGCTGCCACGAGCCGGGAGCCCCGAGACCCTCGGTCCAGCCGGTGGTTTGGGGGTCCGGGGGCACAGCAGCCGCAGGGAGCCCCGGTGCTGCCCCGCCCGGTGCCGGTGTGGGGCCCGCGGGGCGGAAACCGGCGGTGCCGGGGCCTTGGGGATGCTGCTGGGGGTAACGGGGGCTTCAGCCGGGCTGAACTGGCCCGTGGCACCGGAACGGTGGGGCGGGCACGGGCAGTGCCGGGGTCACCGGCCTGGGAGCGTCACCGGGGGGAACGTCCCCGTTCCGCCCAGGGCCCGCTGCCACACTGGGCCGGACCGAGCTGCCCGCCGCCGGCAAGGCCGGGGCTCCCGGTCCCGGGGTACTCGGCGGTGTCCGGTGGTGAGGGCCGGGCAGGGCCCGGAGAGGTGCCGGTGCCGGTGGTCTCGGCCGGTGCCGTTGGTGCTGGTGCCGGTGATGCCAGTGCCGGTGCTGCCGGTGCGGTGGTGCCGGGCAGGGTCCGGAGAGGTGTCGGTGCCGGTGGTCCCGGCCGGTGCCGATGGGGCCGGTGCCGGTGATGCCGGTGCCGGTGATGCCGGTGCCGGTGCTGCCGGGCAAGGGTCCGGAGAGGTGCCGGTGCCGGTGGTCCCGGCCGGTGCCGGGCAGGGTCCGGAGAGGTGCCAGTGGTGCCGGTGCCGGTGGTCCCGGCCGGTGCCGGGCAGGGTCCGGAGAGGTGCCGGTGATGCCGGTGCCGGTGCCGGTGGCGGCGCTGTCCCCCCGGTTGGAAGCGGAAGTGACGCGGCCCGAGCCCCCCAGCCTCCCCCGCGACCCCCGGCAGCGGAGCCGCCGCAGGTACCGGCAGCGGGGCAGAGCACGGGGGGCACGGGCGGCCCCGCTGCCCGGGCGGGGATGGGGCCGGGGCTGAGGCCCGCGCAGACCCCGAGCGCCGGGCCGGGGCAGCGGAGAGGGCTTCCCCTTCCCGGTGGCATCCCCTGGCAGGGCCGTGCGGCGGGAGCCCGGGCCCGGCGGCGGGGTGACCCCGGGGCTGCGGTGGCGGAGGGGACGCGGGGGGACGCGGAGCCGGGGGGATGCCGGTGCTGGGGGTCCCGGGGGAGGCGCGGGGGTGCCGCGCTGGGGAAGGGGCCGGGCCGGGCCGGGGATGCCGAGTCCTTGGGAGGACCCCGGGCCGCGGAGCGTCCGTGCCGGGGTCCCGGTGCTAGCCGCGCTCCCCGCAGGCCCGATGGACGCGGAGGCGCCCCGGGGGCTGTAGGACCCCCCTCCGCACCCAGCGCCGGCAGCTGCGGCCGGGCCGGGCCGGCTCCGCCCGCCGGGGGTCCCGCCGCCCCCCGCGTGCCCCGCCATGTCGGGGGCCCTGAGCAAGCGCAGCGACCTGGCCAACGACAACCGCTGCCCGGGGCTGAGCCTGGCGCTGCCCGCGGCCCCCGAGCCCCGCACCGGCCCCGGCGGCGCCCCGGCCGACGAGCTGCCCGGCGCCGGCTGGGCCAAGGCCGGGCAGGACCAGAACCGCAACGAGCTCGAGCCGGGCCCGGGCCCGGGGCGCTCCCCCGGCGCGCACGGCGAGAGCCCCGGCGCGCT